GCCGGTGAGATTAGAACCGCTGAACTGCAGATAACAGTCAGCTGAAGTGGCCTGCAGTACTGCACCCTAACCACTGCGCCACCTCGGCTCTAGAAAGGCTACTCCAATCACACCTAAAGCCTTCGGTTACGTTCCTACGGAGCTACTGAGCTACAGCTAACCAAGAAAAGGGCTTGTAAGTTGCTGGTGAGAACCTGTCAAGCTTAAAAAGTGATGGGGGGGCGGGAATGGCTTCGGGGCAGCTGGGGACCCCTTCCAAAATTTTCAAAGGTCTAGCGGTTGAAGGGACCAGGAAAAAAAAGAAAGGAAAAACCAAATGAAAACCGCACGCTCTTACAATGAAAAAGTAGAAACGGGTTTGATTCCTTTTTTTTTCTTTTTTACGAATATAAAGTTTTGTTGTCAATATGTACAAGTGTTCGGAAGCTATTCTATAGCAGGAAGCATTTTCACAAACAAGACACGCGATTATACACTTTCGAGGACTCGAGGCATCGAGTTTTCAGGTAATGAGGGATTATCATTATTAAGTAGTGGTAGAAGTAGTAGTATTAATCGGTAGGTTTTTCTTTCTCCCCCCCCCCTGTGAGATGCAAAGACCTTCAAAGAACTCCCGGGACTCCCGGAGACGGAAATCCAGGCACGTTTCCTGACAAACCGCCGGAGGGATGCAATCGTCCTGACCCTGTTTATCCACAACAGGCCCCCCCAAAAACCCGAAGGGCACCGATGAAGCGGGTAGAGGCGGAGGGGCTCTCTGTAGGGCAGCACTGGGAAGTTGGGGGGGGGGGGGCAGTAGAGGTGCCCAAAGGAACCGGCGGAGGCAAGGTGGAATTGCTCTGGCCAGCTGGGAGCAAAAAAACAGAGCGGAAGCAAATTACGGCTCAGAACGGTGTGTCAGAAGCGGGCGGGAGCCGATGATGAGAAGCGAGACGGGGCTGTGGTGGCGGAAGGAAGAGCCACCGCTGGTTTGTCGCCCGCATCCTTTTCCCAAAGCAAGGAGGGGGGGGGGCTCTCCTCTGGGTGACACAGAGGACCCCCCCACTCCGTCCACTTTCTGTGACTTTCCTCGCTCTTTTTGGCCACGCGGTTCGGCTTTCCTGCTCTTTCTGTCTGCCCCCCCTGATCTTGGAGTGTGGGGGGGGGGGAAAGACAGCATCTCCTCAGCTGGGCCGTTGGTTGGCATCTCGTTCGGCGAGGTGGACCGGATCTCATCCCAGAGGGGGATCTGCCCTGCCTCGGTGGGCTCAGTTGCGGCGGTGGTCTCAAGAACTGTCCCGTTTCCTCCTCCGGTGCCAGTTTCTCTCCCCCCCCTCTTTTCTCCCTCCACCCCCAGGTCCATAAAGGATGGTTTTCCGGTTGCAGCATCGCCTCGAAGAAAAAGGCTTCGGTATTGGAACACTGGGGAAATTACGAGCTATACAATATCGAGCAAAGCAACTGAAAAGGAGGCTGCGGTCAAGATGACGGCGGTGCAGGAAGCATGCGGGGACGTCGCCATGCAGGAAGCCTGGGGGGGAGGGCGGAGGCCTGGCTCTGTGCGTTTGTGTGTGTGTGTGTTTGTATGTGAACGGGGCGGTCGAGACTCTTCCCCTGGAAACTTTGGATGCAGAGGGCGGTAGACCAGTGGGCAGGTTTCATCAATGTGTGTGGGTGGGGGGGAGTATCGTTAAAAATGACATTTCTTCCCTGCAACCCGGCAGAACCACAGAGCTGCGCTGATGGCTACATTTTCTTTGCATTGTGTTCAATTTGGGTCTGGAACGGTCAAATTCCCCCCCAAAAGTATCTTATCTATTCTGGGAAGCAACTGATTCGCTCCGTTGCCCGAGAGATTTCGCTAAAAGCTCTGCAGGAGAAGAAAATGAACATCGGGGGGAGGGGGGGGGAGGCAGACAAGAGACATCGGACCGTTGCTGGTTATACAAGGCTTCCCCCAAAATAAACGGACAGCCACGTGTTTGGGTTTTGTTTTTCTGAGTCTTGGGGCAAATGCCCAGATCCCCATCGGACGGCTCGACAGGTAAAAGAGAAATAGAAAAACCGAGGAACTGCTTTGAAAGGAGCAGTAATACAAAGTGACCCTTCCCCGCCCCACGCTCCCCAAGGACCGGGATAACGGGGAGGAAAAAAGAAAAAAGGAGACGCCAAGAAGGCGGGGAAAAAAATCCCACTTGAAATGCAAGGCAATCCTTGCGACGAACGTCCATCCTTCTGGATTGAACGCCGTTGCTGCTGGAATGAATTTGAGCCCAGTGGGGATTACTTAAGGGAGCGGCGAGGGTGGTGTGGTGAAATGGGTAGAGCGTCTTAATTCTGGATATTTTTTCTGTTCTTCCTTGGAGTTCCAGGTCGGAGGTGACGTTTATACTGAAGACTGGTCCCAGACCTGAGGAGGAGAAGGCGAAAACAACAAGAAAAAGAGCTGTAAGGTTTCCTAAAAGTGCCCTAATTGATTCATGAGTATTGAGCCAAGTTTCAATACAAAACTAGTCATTTGTTAGGAGCATCATAGTATGCAAGATCTTTCCACAGTCAGGTCTAAACTTTGTTGGATTTATGGCTGAACTTTACCCCTGTTCCTTCCCTCCCCTCAGTCTGTGTCATAAATCACATTTCCCTATGAGATGCACGCCTCCCAAGCCTGCTGCAGTAATCTGAGCTCCGACTTCAGACAACAGTATGCATGGAATGCACTCCACCCACCATCACCCTTCTCTTACTATGACAATGCTGGGAGTTGACAAGAGGCATATTAAATTCAGAATTTAAGATTGAGCCTTCGTGGGGTTGCCCTGTTTCCTCCTGGGGAGGGGGGGGGTGTTCCAGGAAGCCAAAGCGTCTCACCTGACGCTGTTCAGCACAGCCTTCTCCTTGGCTGGAGGTTTCGTGGCCGGCCGCTTGGTGCTGACCACCTTCACCGGGTGCTGCTCTTTGCCCCCCTTGCTGTATTTGCTCTTGTCGAACTTCGGCTTGGGGACCCCGTATTTTCTGAGAATCTTGGGAGGGAGGAAGGGGAGAAGGGCGGCGTTTTAGGCCGGGAGGAGCCCGGGAAGGGTTAGCTCTTCCGGGTGGACGGAGGCCAGAGCCAAGGCCGCCTCCCAAGGGCCGGGCGGAAGGCCCACCTGAGTCAGCTGGTCCTCCAGGGCCTTCTTTGGGGGGCGGACGTGGGTGAAAAAGGTGTGCAGGAGGTTGCCGGGCGCCTGGGTGTTGATCTGCTCTTTGCTCAGGTAAATCTCCATCACTTTGGTGGGCTTCGCCGGCAGCAGGCTCAGCATTTGCTCGGAATGGAGGCAGCTTTTGAATATGTCCGTCAGGACTTCGCGAGCTCCTGGCACCAGCTTGTCCCCTGGGGAGGGAGGAAGGAACACCCCAGTCACAACTAGGAAGCATGTCCCGCTCTCTGACTTCGGAAGCCACCTTGGTTTCAACTTTCAACGGAAGAAAGTTGAGCAGATCCAGCTTTTGGGACTTGAGAACTCCAGGAAACCCACCAGATCTTCGACTCGCTGGTCCTCCCCCCTCCTGCATGCCCCGCGGGCACAAGGCAGCCGTGAAGGTGGAGGAAACCCACCGAGGGACAGGACAGCACAGGCCCACCTTTGAGGGTTTTGTCGCTGAAGTAGTCCTCCAGGGCGGGGCTCCCTTGCGTGTCGAACAGGCTCTGATTGACGGTCGAGACGGTCAAAATCTCCTCCGAGGACATTTCCATCAGCTCCTCTTCTCCATCCAGGGCCGACAAGCCAATCAGATCGCTGCTGTTAAACAAGCTGGCCCGGATCTTCTCGATCTTGGCCCGGGATCTGATCTGCGTGGAAGGAAAACCAAGGCGGGAGGCGATTTGGGAGACCGGCTGGGCAAGTGAAGCAGGGACTTTGGCTCTTCGGTCTGAAATAGCCGCCACGTTTGATTTGGACCCCCCACCCAAAGTCCTCAGATGTTCCCCTTCCTTCTTTCCTTTCCTTCCCTTCTTTCCTTTCCTTCCTTCCATTCCTCCCTACGTTCCTTCTTTCCTTTTCTTCCTTCCCTTCCTTCTTTCCTTTCCTTCCTTCTTTCCTTCCATTCCTCCCTACTTTCCTTCTTTCCTTTTCTTCCTTCCCTTCCTTCTTTCATTTCCTTCCTTCCTCCCTTCCCTTCATTCCTTTCCTTCCCTCCTTCCTCCCTTCCTTCTTTCCTTCCATTCCTCCCTATGTTCCTTCTTTCCTTTTCTTCCTTCCTTCCTTCCATTCCTCCCTACGTTCCTTCTTTCCTTTTCTTCCTTCCCTTCCTTCTTTCATTTCCTTCCTTCCTCTCTTCCCTTCCTTCTTTCCTTCCATTCCTCCCTACGTTCCTTCTTTCCTTTTCTTCCCTTCCTTCTTTCATTTCCTTCCTTCCTCCCTTCCCTTCCTTCTTTCCTTCCATTCCTCCCTACGTTCCTTTCTTCCTTTCCTTCTTTCCCTTCCTTCTTTCCTTTCCTTCCTTCCATTCCTCCCTACGTTCCTTCTTTCCTTTTCTTCCTTCCCTTCCTTCTTTCCTTTCCTTCCTTCTTTCCTTCCTACGTTCCTTCTTTCCTTTTCTTCCTTCCCTTCCTTCTTTCCTTTCCTTCCTTCTTTCCTTCCTACGTTCCTTCTTTCCTTTTCTTCCTTCCCT